AGGCCTCCGCTGCGCCGTGCTCCTCGGCGCGCTCCGCCTGCAGCGCCAGCGCGAGGCCGATCGCCGCGGTGCCGATCCCGGACCCGATCTCCAGCACGGTGGCGCCTCGGGCCGGAATAGGGGACAGCGCTGTCGTGCCGTCGCCCTCCAGCGCGAGCTGGAGCAGCACACGGCCGGCGGGCCAATCCATCGCGCCGATCGGCGGCGGTCGCGTGCGAGCGCTGAGCGAGAGCGCCACCGGCGACTTCAGGTTCGGTGCGCTCACTCGGTGGCACGCGACTCGCCACTGCCGGAGGTCGAGCACCTCGTCGAGCGTGTAGAGAGCAAAGGCTGTGCCAACGCCGAGGTAGCTGGCGATGGCGGTGCGGTGGGACATATACGTGCACACGTGTATCTAAAGATATATGGGCCTCGCGTCGTCCGCCGCTTATCCCGTGACCTGCGGAATTCGCGATACCGAGGAGTCTCGAGCTTCAGCTGGCGAGACATCATGCCGCTCTCGGCACAGAAGCAGCGCGAGCGCCGCGCCGCGAAGCGCGCTGCCGAGGCTCAGGACGCGGCTCGCGGGCAGCGCAACCGCCCGGCGCCGAGCCGGTGCTAGGCCGCCTCCGCTGCGCCTGCTTCCTTGCGCGCCGCTGGACGTCGGCCGAGAAGACCGCTTCCCTCTGGGGACCCGACTCCGCGAAGATCGCGCGCGCGTCGTGAGTGGCGGCGCGCGCGCGATCTCCGTTCCCGGGCACGCCGGTCGCAGTGGCATGGGCTCCCAGACTCAAAAGCGCTCCCGTCAACAGCGAGCGAGCGCCGCCGCTGCTCCTCCTCCCGCCGCCGCCGCTCCTCCTCCCGCCGCCGCTCACCGAGACCCGCCGCCGCCGCCGCCGCCGCCGCCGCCGCCGCCGCCGCCGCCGCCGCCTCGCGCCTCGCCTCCGTCACCGCCGCCCTCCATCTCGCAGCGGCGCGTCCCTCTGATGGCGCGGGCGTCTCGCTCACCGGCGCCTCGCCGCCGCCCCCCCCCCCTTCTCGCGCCGCTCCGCTCGTGGCCGCCGCCTCCCCTGTCAATCCCGCCGCCTCCCCTGTCAACCCGCCGCCCGCACCACCGCCGCCACCGCCTCGGGCCTCGCCGCCGCCGCCACCGACCGCCCTCCCCTGCGCCGCTGAGCGCGGTGCAGGGCGGGGTGAGCCCCCGCTGCGCAGCCTCACCGTAGTGCACTGCGCTCTCCGCACCCCTGACGATTAGTGAGGAGGTGGTGTTGCACAGCATGGAGCTCGGCGAGCGTTTAGCGAGCCCCTCAGCTTACAGCTAGATGCTAGTAGAGGGAAGAAAGGGAGGGAGGGGCGTTTCCCCGCGTTCTAAATTGATGAGAGGACTAGCACTCACCGCCCGCACACTGCCGCCCATCCCTCCAAACGGGCTTCTTGGGTGGAAAGAGATGCCACCGGCGGCTTCCCCGGTCACTCATCAAAACGGTCTGGTTTTGGAACCCCCTGTCTGAGAAGATTCGCCCTACCCGGAGAGCACACGAGAGCGCCGATGCTGGGTTACACGGTGCTGAGCATCGCGCTGACGCATACCGGTCGTCTATCCCCGCCGCTGACGCCGATCGCTCGCGCCCCTTCTCTGAGCTGCAATCGCGCTGGCCGCATCGCGAGCGCCGAGACGACTGAGGCGGCGGAGCCGCCAGCAGCAGAGGAGGCGGCAGACACGGTCTTCACCCTCTCGCCCCGCGACGATGGGTGGGACGACCTGCGCGGCGCGATTGTCACGGCCCGCAAGGAACGGTCCGGCGCGTGGGAGCAGCTTCAGAAGCAGTACGTCAGACCGGTCAGCCGCGTGGCAAAGGTGGTTGTCGAGGAGGTCGCGTCCGTGGCACCGCCCGTCGAGGGCGTCAAGGAGGTGCTGGACGTCGCCGCAAAGGCGCCGGCGAGCCTCGCGGCGATCCGCAAGGGCAGCACCGGCAAAAAGCTCGAGCCGCGGGACGCAGTCTTTGCCTTTGCCGACCTGCTCGATCGGCTGGCGGAGAAGAAGCAGCAGCGCAGCGGCGAAGGCAAGCCGCCCGTCGCATCCACGCGGCAGGCCGCAAAGGCAGAGGCCCCGTCGGGCAAGGAGGTCGCGGTCGCCACCTACCAGGTCGGCGCTCTCCTCGCCATCCCGGGGCTGACGC